TGATTTAGTCTTGACATGTTGGTTACTGTTCATTTGAGTTTTGACACGTCGGTCACTGTTCATCGTATCTCGATTTTTGTTCATATCCCTACTATCTCCCTACTCATATAAAAGAGCCAATCCATAGGTTACTATTTATTTGTGAAGTATTTGTCTTTCCCATTTCATCCCCACTAAGTATTCTTTTTCCCAGTTTATCCCCATCATTTACTATTTATTTGTCAAATAGTTTTCATATTATCTTATGATGAAAAACAAAAGGATAATTCTTTACCTACAATTGTTGACATACCATTATGAATAAATATAAAAAATAAATAAAAACCTGTAAACCGACTACAAACCTGCAAATCGACTCATTGAGGATAAACCATCAATTGCAGTTGATATTTTATAAATATCTGGTATTGGAGAAGCAAACTAATTTCTGGTATATCTTCTATTTCATTCTTCCTCTCAAATCTTCTAACGTCTCACTCTTTCTCTCTCGCCGTGAAGCTGCAAAACAATCTCCATTAGGTAAGATTCATATTATAATTGTAATGGTTATGTCATTTCATTGGAGTGCATAATTCAGTTGTTTACTTATTGTGCTAAACATTTTACCCATCGTTGATGTAATTTGGATTTTTGTTTAGCCTGATGATTTCAACACTCCGCACAAATTTATGATATTTAGTTAATTCTATTGTGATTTTATTTAATTGAAATAAGAAAGTGTTATAATTGCATGAATGTTTAGTTGGAATTCTTTTGTTTTGCCCAGTTTTAAATTTTTTTTAAAAAAATATTTGTTAAAAGTGGTTATTAATTGCTAACAAATATTTTTTTCCACGATTGTAAAAAAAAAAAAATTACACTTAAACTCCCCGTGCGTGCACGACGAGCATCAAACTCCCCGTGTACGCACGGGGAGATGCGATCTCCCCGTGTGCGCACGGGGAGTTAGTTTCTCCCCGTGCACGCACTACAGAATTTGTTTTTTATTATTTTTTATCTTTTTACCTTTCACTCAAACGTCTGACTTTCACGGGCAATTCGGAAAACCCCCAAATCGTTCCCAGCGCTTTCTCCCTTCTCTCTACCGCCCTTGAAGATCTCTTGTGCGCCCTTGAAGATCTCTTGCGTGCTCGACTGAGGGTGGGAGCTTCGGCTCCCCCCTCTCCCTTTCGTTCCCCCTCTCGCTTCTCTCCTTTGTGTGTTGTCTGTGTTTTGCTTTTTTTGGATAACGTCTGTGTTTTGCTTTGATTCTATTTGCTTTCGATTGTATGTTTTTTAGTTTTGTTTTTCCATTTCCCTTTCCCACTTATTCACCTTTGATTTGGGGATCCCTGTGATTGTATTGGAGTAATCTTTCTTCTTCTTCCTCGGTCAGTTCGGGTGTTCCACCATTTGGTGAAGGCATAGGTTACTTTTTGGGTTTCATTTCTAAAACCATGCTGCATAGGTCTGATTTGGTGATGGTGAGGCTGAGAATTCGGTTTGATTGTTGTTTTGTTGCGGAGTGTGTTGGCTGGCGTGGTTGTCTGGTGGTGTTTTGGATGTTTATGGTTAACAAGGCGGCTTCATTTCTCCAGTAGCCAGACCTCTCTTCTCACTACAGCTTTTTTGATTATTTGATGTTGGTTCACTCCGGTTTCTTTGGCTCTCTACATTATGTTTGCACCCATGTCCTTGATAAAGACCGTTCTTTTTAGTAGCTTCTTTCAGTGTATCTGTGCACAATTGAGAGTGTGAATTAACTGTTTGCGTACATTATAGGTTTTCTCATATACAATCTGATTTGCAAAATCTATTATGGTTTTTGATTTTACTAATTTTTTTATCGGACTTTAATGCTTCTCTAATATTTATTATATACTGTCCATTTTGATACAAAAAGCTGTCCTCATAACCTGTTTTCCTGAATCTGTTACATTGTTGCAGTGCTATCGATTGGAAGTTCGCTACCGAGCAGTTTGTTTTAAAGCTCCCTGATAAAGTTTTCGTTCACTGTGAGTTTTACATTTTATTAGTGAAAATGTATCCGATGTTTCTGATCTCTGTTGTCTGTGATTCTTTGTTATCGCTTAAGTTGAAACTGGGTTTATTTAGTTCCTTATGATTGGAGAAATTTTCTAATTGTAACGTAATATGACCACTGGATTCATGAGTAGGCTGAGTTTCTGAAATAAAACACTCCACTCAGTTGAATTTCATAAAGCAAAATTCTTCTGTGCATTTTTGTTCACATGCAACACTTAGCCCCTGTTTAAGAACCATTATATTTTGAAAAAACGAAGTTTTTAATAGTGATTTGTAGGAGAATGTGGGGTTAAAAATAGGGAAAATTTTTGAGTTTACATGTGAAACATTTTATTATGTGAATGTGTAGTTCAAAACAAGTATATAGAAAAAATAGTTTTCAAATAATGGTTGTCAAACAAGGCTTAAGTTGTAATGTTAGGTTCTTTAGATTTTTATGTCATCAATCTGAAGATTTGTAAATTATATTCTGCCCTCTTCTAATTGTTAATTTGATCTTCTTTATCATTAGATTAGAATTTCAAAGTGTCATCATTTATCTCATTTTTATAATTGATTTTATTTTAAGGAAGAGAATAACCTCAAACTTGTACAACATTTTTCTCTTAGTTTTTCTATGAAGGGGCTTCAGAAGGCTATAAGTTGACCATGGGTTGGTTAATTACTCTTCATTCATGAGTGTAGTTTCATGTTTTTTTATCAAGGATTACGTGGTAGCTACATGTAATAGACTGTATTATGTAAATTGCCAAGGTGTTTTGGCTTTATTAATTTTTACATGTTCATTTATCTTGAAAATAAGATGGGGTTCATACTTTTACTTATTTAGTGTACTCAATACTGGTACTTCAGATATCCCTTATCTGGAAAAATGTTAGGCATTATTTAACATCTTTTGTGTTTCTCGGTCAATTAAAAGTGGCTTATTATCTCACCTTACTAAAAGGTATTATACTATTATTTGGTATGCAGGCAGTGAACGGAATATGGCTAAGCTGACATTGGATGGTGTGGATGTAATGGGCGAGAGGTTGGCTGAGGAGGTTGATTTTCTTTGGCTATGGATCCTCCTTTGCATTCTCCTTGTGCTCTTTTCTTGAAAAATATGTCATTGGCTGATATTAGTCTAAATCTTTTGATTTTAACTTAGACCTACATTATAGGTACTTGATGTGATAAAACGGAAGCCAGATTTAAGGAAAATGTAGTTCATTGCCAATGATCATCTATTGATGATCATATTTGCCTTCTTGGATGACCACACCTGCTCAAGTATCCTCAATGGAACAAATCTTTTCTAATCTGTGCAGTTTATTATTTTCTTGCCTTTTTTTTTTTTGGCTTTGTGACTATGGGGCTATCTGGTGCTGATTGACTACAGTAGTGCACTCTATCTTGGGTCAGTTTATCCAATTGAAGTATCTAGGTTTTTTTTTATAAGCTCATGTTGGCAAAAAACAAAGACGACAAACTCCCCATCAAAACAACAAAGTCAGAAAAAGAATAAACCCCTGCTGCACAAATTTACAAACCTGTACTACCAATCAAAAATAATAAGTCAGCTATCCATTACCTATTGTCATACAGCTATTATAGTACACTCCACTATTTTGTAGAAGTTTATTTTCATATATAAGAACCATATAACTCGTGTATCCATTGTTTGCTATTAACGAATTATTCATGGCAGGTGGGTTACAAACTCATTGGATTTTAAGAAAAACTATCACCTCAATGTCCTTGAGACAACCATAACGTAGCTTTATAAGGTTCAATTTGCCTCCCTTTACCATCTAATTGATTTTCTCTCTAGGTTTACATAACCACATATTTGTACAAAATAACGGTTGTCTTATTCCCTGGTTGATGTGTTTGCATTGTTTTATACTTGCAATTTTCTTGTGTACTACTTCGTAACCAATTTAGTGACGATTTAATCTTATTGTATGCCATCATATTTCTATAATAACTCCGCACACCGCGGACACCAATGTCTTTGCTGTGCAGACACGGCATCCGCGCAGCACGGACAATTTTTTTTTTTACTAACTATTCTCACATTGCTCTGTTGCACTGGAGTTATGGTGGAAGCTATATGGGGTTGTAGTGGCATCTTGTCTACTTGCATCTTCCAGTGAATTGTTCCTCATGAAAAATTGGGGATTTTGGTGGTAGCAAGGAAAATTCTAATAGAGATGGATGATAATTGCCATTCCTAACTGCATATGGATTGACAAAAAGGCTAGAATGTTTAGGATCACTGTATTTCTTGCTGACTAGAGCTTTTATTTTAAGCTTCAAGTTCTCTAGGTTGGATGGTCATTTAGGATTTTGCATTCTGGTCTTTTCTTGTGTAGAGGATTTATTCACCTTCAATTATGTACTTCTAACCAGAAAAGTGAAATTTTTTGGTACTAAGGAGTTTAAAACTAGCCAGTTTATCCATTTCTGGTTTATTTATGCATACATGATACATGGTAGTTGGTCGAATTTGAGTATCGTGGGTTAGTCTGGCGATGTTGGCTTCATTTAATACCATAGGCAGCAGTTTTCAATCAAACTGAGATAGCTTTTGCTCTCATGGATCATGGAGCAAGCATGGTCTGCAAGAATTTCCAAGGCAAGTGATTTTCATATATCTTGTACTTCTTCAGTTTGATTGGTTTGTAGGACAGTCTTACAGTTTTGGGACACAAATAAATGTGTTGTTACCTTAATTGTTCCCTTGGGAGTTAGAAAGAACTCATCATGTAAATTCATAACCTAACCTCTGTATTGTGCAACCAAGCAAACAGCCCCCATACTTGTCATTTGTGCCATTCTGCAAGCAAATATGACCTATTTTTACTTTTTTGCCCGTCTTCTATTAGATAGTGTCTTCTCTAAGTTTCAGTTGGCATGTTTCACTCATCTTGTCATTCTGCATTAAATATTAGGTTTGGATTCTTTAAGAGTAGGCTGCAACAAGTTTGATAAAGTAACTACTTTTCTTTTTACCGTGTCATTGTTTGTGAATTCAGGTGAAACGCCATTAGATTGTGCTCCTGCCACATTGCAATACAGAATGAAGAAGAAGATGGAAGAAAGTGTACAAGTGGATCCATGACACGGCAGTTATGAGAAATGCTCTGTTTCTACATTTAGATGTGGAAAGTTGGCTTGTCATTTAGAATCTAATGCATGAATTGTTTTCGCTTCATCCAATATATCTCTACATTTTCTGGAAGATTCAATGAAGTTAGATCGACTGTTAGTTTTAGTCCACCATTCTCTGTTCTAATAGTTTAGATCATTGTTGAACTCATTTTAGTTTAAGCAAGTTGAAAAACCAATACTTAAGATTTATTTAGATGGGCTTTTTTCCCTTTTTCTTATTTTAAATTTTAATGATTTGTGCAGTGTCTGGGTTGCAAGAAGACCCCCTATGCTTTCATTGATTTTGATGAAGGGAGGATGCTCAATATGATATACGAGAGCTAAATGGTAGAACTATTGAAATTTACTCTATTATACTTTTGCAATTCCAATTTAAAGACACTTAGTTGTTTTACTTTTTACCTATAATATACACAGTCAGACTTAGCCATGGTGTAGAAAATTGACTGTCATCCTATTAGAATGAGGCTAATATTGATAACATTGCATGTATTTAAAGAAAATAATATATTTGTGATTGTTATCACAAATATATGGCACTTACTACTTACCGTTAGTCCTTTACCTTCTTTTGCTGCTTCAGATGATTATATATTCACATTGGAATATGGTACCATTTTTGGGGAATTGATGGAGAATGAAAATGCGACAAAGGGTAGTCGACCTGCTGCGAAATATGTGGTAGAGAATACACCTTTGGTGGAGTTGACAAAAGACGAAATGGGGGAAAATAATGATTCGGTTGTCTGCACAGTTCGTAAGGACGAGGTTACAATTGGGGAGAAAGTGACTTAAATGCCTTGTCATCTTTATCATGTAGACTGCATTTTGCCATGGCTCAAGATTAGGAATACTTGCCCAGTTTGTAGGTATGAGTTGCCTACAGCTGATGTAGATTACGAGAAGAGGAAGACTGAGAGGAGTGGTGCAGGAATTGCTTCTCGCTTCGCTGATGATCTTCAGGCAAGGTACAATTTTGAAATTTTGCCTTGAAAAGGTGTATTAGTCTGTGAACCTTATATTTATTCATCTATAGGACTAGATTACCATTCTTGATAGTGATAGCCACAATTGTTGACTGGCTTTCTTCTCAATTTTAATTAAACTGACTCTTAATAACAATAATAAATAAATAGTCATAACCTCTCAATTATTGAGTTATTTCACATATATATCTGGTTTCCAATCGATTTTTCCTCCTCCTTCGCACGAGTCCTCAATCTCAACTCTTTTATTTCTACTGATTTCCAGAAATCAGTACTATATTTTGTTCAAGGAGCTGCTACCAAAGTAATAGGTTCCTGGAGCTAACTTGTGGGTTGCTGCCGAGTTTTTGTACCTGTGAAACTGCTTCAAGGACCTATATTGTTGCTGAGGTGATGTTTATCAACCTGCTGGAGCAATAGCAGCCTGATTTATTAGTGATTAGGATGGGAATTGTACTACAAGTTGATTTATGTAATGAAACTGAAGCTATAATTTGTAAATATGTATTGATTTGCAGAATGGAAGACAATTATTTATGAAATGAAGAACTGACCACATAATTAAAAGAACAATACGAAGGCTGTCGAGAGGCCTCGAGCTCTCCTAATTTAATCAGCCCACTAAATATTTTCCCACATAATACATCCTACCTCTTCTCCATTTATAAATATTTTGTAATCAAATCTAATGGAATTTGTTTCTATTAATCGCTTCTCAATTCTTTTCTAGAGGTTGATAGGAGTCTATCACAAAGGCAGTGATAGTTTTTCTTTTTTTCAGCTTACTTTTTAGTACATTTTTGCTTGATTTATTTCATATTTTCTTGTATTGTTGTAGCTATGAGGTTCTTTTTTTGGCTTTTATGTTAGATAAAAACTTATTGACGTTTCACAATAGTGATAGTTTTTCTTTTTGTCAGTTTACTTTTTAGTACATTTTTGCTTGATTTATTTCATATTTTCTTACATTGTTGTAGCTATGAGGTTCTTTTTTTGGCTTTTATGTTAGATAAAAACTTATTGACGTTTCACAATACCATTAATATTTGATACGTTAATATTACCTTAAAAATATCAATGCCCGTACATTGTACGGGCGGACAACTAGTATCTTAAAAAGAGTGAAAAGAGAAGCTCGAGTTCACAAACAATTTGTTATCATAATCTCCTTCTTTGATACGGTGAACCTACAATATCGAGCGGATGTAGCTCTATTGAATCACCCCAAGTGTGTATTTGGATTTTAGAAGGCAATTTTAAAGCTCAAAAGTGCTTCTTAGAGGGGGAAAAAATGCTTTTCGATGAAATTAATAATGTTTGTTTAAAGTCACAAGTGCTTGTTGAGAAAAATATTTTGAAGATGTTTACAAAGGTAGCAGATTAGTGAACGGCTTTTAAGACCAGACAACAAAATAAAAACAAATCTTCACCAAAAAAGAAAAAAAAAAAGTATAATATAAAACATAGAGTTTTCAACTTTAATTTGTCCATTCATAATGGACAATGGACCACTTTGTATGAGTTCTTGTCATGGTCACTATGGTCGAGTAATTAATTATTTTATAGCTTATAAAATAAGTGAATAATCTGCCAAATCAATGTAAAACCACTTCCATTTTGGTCCTCAAATTACCGTAGAGAGAGGTTATGAATCAAAATAACAAAAGAGAAGGGATAGTTTTATTGAAAATAGAGAATTTTGTCCAAGAACAAACAGAAAAATGGCCAAAAAATAAATAAAAATGAGAACGTTTTATGGAATTTCAGACGGTATAAAATTTTTCGATTAAAGGATTAGTATTGAATAAGTACTATATCTTCTTGACTAAAATAGAGTTACGATTTATTTTAAACGTCGTTATTACTCATTTAAATAATCTTGACACTCATTAGATTAGTCTACTAATCGAACAAATAATTGAGAAGATAAGAGTATAAGAGTCTGTTTGGTAAAAATTCTCATTTTCTACAGTAAATCAATTCTCATTTTCAACCACGCATTCTTCAATAAAATAATATTTTCCATCACATAAATACTTTTTTCTTCTTTTTCAATCACACATTTCCCATCATATCACTATTCAAAAATCAATTCTTCCCCCAAAAATCTCTACCAAACACACTCTAAAACTATGTCTGTCTTCGAAATATGCTAAAAACTACTTTAAAAAGTGTGGTCAAAAGATTGCTAAAAAATGGTTTTGGGTTGGAGTTAGTGTTATTGTCGGTTTAAGAGNTAGAGATTTTTGGGGGAATAATTGATTTTTGAATAGTGATATGATGGGAAATGTGTGGTTGAAAAAGAAGAAAAAATTATTGATGTGATGGAAAATATTATTTTATTGAAGAATGTGTGGTTAAAAATAAGAATTGATTTATTGTAGAAAAATTTAATCCCTCCCAAACAGGGCCTTAAAGAAATTCTTATATAGTACAACTGTAATAAAGGGTAAAATTGACATTTCATAGTTATGAGACCCAACATGAATATTGACTTGGTCAAGGGACTAGGCCATCACGTCATTGATTGGATCCATAGGTCACTAATCGAACCGATGGATCAATTCTTAGAAAATTATTTCAAATTTTCGAAACATAAAATTCTCTCTTGATACAATTTTTTAAAGTTATTTGTCACTATTTACTTTTATGTATATAAATTATTGATATTACAAACTTATTTGTTCTACAATATTTATAATTTAATTTTATAATATAGAATTTCTATTTATATAGTTCTAGTTTTTTTTTTAATTTACACATTTTATCTGTTATCAACCAAACAATTTTGTATTAAAAGTATTCAATCCATTTTAGCCAAAATTAATTTATCTATATATAACAAATCCATAAAAGAATTCTTTGATAAAGAGCTGGTAACATTTTTCTTTACTTGAATATTCAATTTATTTATATTAAGGCTGGATTATAATATTTTTTGCAATAATATTTGAAGATAATAGAAGATACAATAAATTCATAAATGATAACAATTTGTTGATTGCTCACTATATATGTGGGGGAGGTCAAGGGATCCACTCTCTACTCCATCATTTGTTAACTAATTTTTCGTTGACCTTTCAAACTACCAAAAATCGATAGTTTAATTGAATTTGATCGATTAAATTGTTGACCGGTCGGATAAATTCGTCCAACTCGATTAAGGGCCCAGGTCGTCGATTTTTCCAGCCCACTTTTTATAACTATGAGAAATTATCTAGAGTTTCACTATTATTTAAATGATATATTAAACAAGCTCAATTTTTATATTTCTATCTAGTTTTAGATGTTTTATTATTAAAAAAATAAATGAATTTTGCTTAAAACTCATTGGAGATCAATTTTGAATCTGAAGTGTTTATTCATTAGACATAATAGCTGACATTAGTGTTAGGTAGATCAAACACGTTTCGACTTACATGCCACCTAGATAGTGATTCATATAATGTATTTGAGATACCTTGAATATCCGAGTTGCAACGGAATGACCAAGGCATGCCACATGAGAAATTCCATCACTCGGTCATCAAGTCGTTAACTTTTAAGATTAAAAGATATATGATGATAATATTTTGGTAAATTTAATGTACCCTACCTAAAAACTTGTTCAATAGTAATTGAAAAATATTTAAGAAAATATTTTAATAATTTCAATGAGAATCTGAAAAACTTTTAAAATTCGAAAGCAACTGAAAACCATTTGGAAAGTTCAGTGGGAACTTTGATCTGCTAATTCCCTTGGTATTGTTTTTAAATTATTAAATCTGAAAAATCGGGTAAATTTTTGGTGGATGAAAAGATGTGTAGAAGTATAGACACAAGATAACTTTCAATAATCTTAGAGAGAGATTACTCACATGAAGTAGATAGACAGACAATGATCTCATGTTATGCTGAAGTCTTCGGTCAATCTCTACATCTTTTCGGTGCAAAGTCAGCATCAATTAGTATTCTTTTGATATAAGCCACCAGTTCCTTCACAAGCTGCAAACTACATCACTATCAACCACACCCTGGCTTTTAAAAAAACAAACTTCAAGAGATTTCTCAGGATCACTTATATATACATACACTACACAATTTTACATAGAGGTATGGTAAGAACATACAATGATTCCAAACAGAAGTACAAGGAGACTTTCATTGGACATGTTCCAAAGGGCAGGAGTCTCAGACAGAACACACGAGAGGAGCGTATTCAAGTATTTGGATTTAAGGTTTCCAACTCAAACTGCTTCATCCAATGATGTCATCAGAGAAGTCAAATGCGAATGCTGTGGCATGTCTGAGGACTGCACTATAGCCTACATCCAATGCACCAGGGCTCGGTTTTATGGCAAATGGGTTTGTGGCCTGTGCTCGGAAGCAATAAATGAAGAGTCTTATAAGATTGGAGGAGTACGCAACATTATACATGAAGAAGCTCTACTTGCACACATAGAAATATGTAACACGTTCAATAAAACCATCAGAGTGAATCCTGCCATGTCTCTTGCATATGCCATGACCAAAATTCTGAGAACAAGCTCCAACAAGAATAGATGATGTACAGAGTATTGGACAACACAGTACACTACAACGGACAAAATTTCTGTTTCTTTTTCTTGTGTCCAGTGTTGTACACTCCAACTTACCAAATAAAACAGTAGAGCAGACGTATTTATGCAGAAATTCAAAGTCTATTCAAATAAGTTCAATTGTTGCTTTCCAACAGTCCACCTCGCAAAACAAGTGTTTCAAACTCAATTCATATTTCTAAATGTAAAAACTATTCTGCAGAACAATATACAGAAGTATGGACAGTTCAAAAAACATATCAAATACAAGCTTCTCCGGTTTGGGACATTTCTTTTGATTCTAAGGACTGCAGAAATACAAGACCTAACAAGCCATTCAATGACTGGTGATCGAAGGAGATAACAAAGAAACTAACAATGCACCCATAAAATACTGAATGAAGGCTAATTATGGGCACTGAGTCTCTGGTCATATTTCAGAATTCGGATCAAGAATTGGGGGGCAGAAGTTTTTTCTATTTTTTTGGCAGGCAATCCAATTACTGATGTGACTACTAAGCGAACATTTCATTATTGAAAAAACCAGAAGTTCATTTGAAGATTATAAACAAATGTTATATTCCGGGAGAAATACAAACTCATGGGCTATATAGCAACCTCATTTACATAGCTATATACAAAATGTACTAAAGAGAAGGGGTTTCCGAGTTCGAAACAGAGCCTTCTGGGAAGCCTTCGCGAACATCCCCCCGGCAGAGTGGGCACACACTGGAGAACAAGAACATAATTAACAGTTAGATATTGAAAAGAATAGAAGGTGAAGGGGTGGGGGATGCGGAAGAAGTGCAGCAATATCACATACCCATGAATCTCCTTGAGCCATTTATCAACACATGACATGTGATACTCATGGTGACATGGAAGAACTCGAATTTTGTCTCACTCCTCGTACACAGCTAGGCAAATGTAACACCTGCAAGACATAGTATCATCATAAGGTAAAACTAAAAGCTATGGCGAACTACCTGCAAAAAGAACTCGAATTTTGTCTCCCTCCTCATACTCAGCTAGGCAAATGTAACACCTGCAAGAAAAAGGTTTCATCATAAATAGGTAAAACTAAAAGCTATGGCGAACTACCTGCAAATACAAAGAACATACCACTAAACATTCACATACTGGAATACCGTGTGACGAAACAGTAAATGACATTGCTGGTAAACCAGTCATAGCACAAAAGATAACATTTGCTTTGTAGTCAGTCAAAATCAAAATAGGACATGTGTCAAGATATGAAAAAATAACATAACTGATCTGAATTCCAAAGTTTTAGTGATTTTATGTCAGTGTTGAATGAGCAATCCGCCCCTTTCTAGCTACAGTTATAGGCACCTTAAAAGAATTGTTAAAAAACAGTTTGCTGAGTGGTTTCTTCTCTATCCTTTTCCTAGGGTCGAACCAATGTCAAGTATAATTAGCAAATGATGTGAGCAAAAAAGAATTCAAAAGAATTTTGTGACCAAACTTTGCTATTTATTTCATCGTAAAATTTAATAGTCTCTCTCCAGTTTGATGAAGTTTACTCTTTCATTATTTATTTTCCTTATTTAGAGATATTGTCACATTTCCATTACTCATATAAGCAAAGCTTGTCATGAGGTGGGCACTCTTGTTATCAAATTGTGTAAACAGAACGTGAGTTTTTCTCTCCCTTTATTATGTCTCCTCAAAGATTTTTTCTCCATTTTTATATAATTTCTTGCCAACAGGTGCTTCATCACCCAGCTTAGATTTGCTTTCCCAGAAGCATAGGAAAACAATTTATTAGCTCCACCACCACCACCCCCTTTTGTTTTTCCTATTTTTGGGTTCTTCCAACCACTTCAAGCACGACCCATTAAAAAGTGAGGGGAAAACATACTGCTGATTATCATCTCCACTTTCCGATTTTTCTGGCTTTCTGTGAGTCTTCAAGGGAAAAGAGTCAACCACCGATTCTGGAGCTGGAAATGAGACCATAGACAAGGAAAGTGACATTGGTTGTCGATGAATTTCATCCAATACCTGCATTCCGTAGATATTAATATAGTCTCTCCATTTAGGATACATCAATTAGTAGAATGTTAACTACATATAAAACAGGAAAAAATATAAATGAGGAAGGGTTTTACTCGTGATTTACTGGAGATCTCAAATTTAAATTCTTAACCGTGATAAGGTAAATTTGTAATCATATATTAAAAAGACAAGCATCAGATAACAAACTTCATTCTGTATAATTCTCTTTACAAAATTCATTGGACTCAGAAGGAATAAATCAAGCACTTTCAAAAAACACTATTAAGAGAAAAGTTTATTCTCTTGAACATGTACTTTTATTTCAGCTTACTTTCCCATGCAATTGTTGCTCATAATTGGTCCACTCTTTTCTAGCACAAACCTACTCATATTTAGCCATCTTTGGTCCCCATTTTCTAAAACCCACACATTCTCCCTACAAAATAATTTTTGCACCTACATCCATAACTTTTCACTACTACTTAACCACACATTCTCCCAAAAACTCACTCAAAAAGTCAAAATATCTGCTTGTACTTCTGGTGGAAGCATTCTATTACGAGCAAACATGATCCTATATCTCATTCATTTAACATGTATATATGAATACAAGCACTTTAGATATAATTGATGTGTATTCGTGAATTTTATTTATATATAAGAACCACTATCATTCTTCTAAAATTAATGATAAATACTTATTTACTACTATCGATGTTCAATGTATCATCTTCAACGTTCATGACACCAATAAGTTAAGTTTCTCAAACACCAAGCTTTTCTTTTAAGCAGGTTGATCTTAATAAATTTCCTTATGTAGTTATTCAGAAATGCTGACTACAAACTTCCCGTCCTTTTCAGCTGCCAATTTAGCAATTAATCGAACTGTCTCTAATGTAGTCACTGACTCACTGTAGCAATAAATTCTGTATAATCTAATCCTTGCTTCTGCTTATATCTTTTTACAACAAAGCATCTTAGATCTCACTTCTTTCATGTCCTTTTGGACTACTTATTTCAAGTAACTTGTATTACCGAATCCTCTCTCTCGGCTCCTTTAAAAAATTTCCCCTTCCAGCAATTTTTTTCTCCCTAGTGGCAAGTTTTATTGTCTCTCAATTTCTTTCTTCCAAAGAGTTCACTTTTTTCATGGATCTCTTTCGTTCTTTTATTTGTTGCAATTCTCTTGTAAGCTCGCCTTTTCTTCTCATTTTATGATTGATGAACTTCCTCGAACTTGTTTCTACCCTGCTCCAAATCTTCAACTTTCTTGAAATGCAATTTTCGTACATATTTGCATCTTTCTGTCTCATGCTTCAAATCCATTTGTAAATAGATATATGCTCTTTACTCTCATTTAATTCTTAGCTTTTAGTTTCTTCACAAATCCACAATTCCTTCTGATTAATTTTAGGCCTCTTTTTATCAAGCTCATCACTGAGAATCTGTAATATTTCCTTCTCACAAAATACTTCTCTCAAAGTTCTTTAATTTTCGATGGAGCTCCCTCCTCTACCAGTGGCGGAGTCAACACCTGACGAGGTGGCGCGGCCACACAGCACAGTTGATATGTCATCTGTGACTGTGATCTCCATCGGGTAGAGAAGATGAAATCAGTTGGGACTTAGGCCTTTTTGTTTTAGAAAAATGGGGAAGAATGGGCTTTTTGGTTTTAGAAAAAGATGGGGGAAGGGCCCATTAATTGAAGAAAAAACAAAACTTTGAAAATTGCCCAACAAAATCACAACAAATAAAATCCACTGCCCAAGTTTGAAGAAGTCATAACTCACGACATTTCACTTTCAAAAATCCCAATCTGAGACACCAGTGAATTCGAAACCCTATTCTTCAACCCCGACTCCGACTCAACGATTCTTGGTGTTCTCCCTCCCACCCGTTGTCCCCACTCGCCAGTGACAAACGCACTGTGACAGCGCATGCCACCCCACTGCCGGTAATTTGTTTGTTGTTGAGTTTTTCAAATTTTATTGTGCATGTATATTGGATTAAAGATGCAAATTTAAGGAAATATGTAAATGTGATTTGTTGTTTTGACTTCTCTTTTCCATGGTGGGATTAGTAATAACTCTGCTTATGGACATTAATTGCTATTTCATCCTTGTGAATCAGTGATTATTGGTTTTGATTGATTAGAATCGTGAAAATGAATTATTGCTTTATCGATATAATCTTTGATCAATTATTTAATTGGTATATATAACTAGGATCTTTACCTTTATTTCACGAGGTTTGTTTTGGTGTTAGATTATTGAGGGTTTAGAGAAAATCATGTTTCCATACAGTAGACTTGTTGCCTGGCTGTGGTTAGATTTTTATCATTTAAATGTTAAATTGGGTTTTATATGCAATTGGAATATTGGATCCTCGGTTTTTTATGGTTGTGTAATGTTATTATAATTTAAATGTTAAATTGGGGAATTTGTGTGATAAATAATAAATTGTTGTTGGAAATTTAAACTTGGTGATAGTTTAACATGTGATTTATGTTTTAATGCATTTACATATAGATCAATAATTTTTTTTATTTAATTAAATATTAATAATTGGTCTCGCTATTAAGGGCGTTGACTGTTGATGGTCAACGGAAAACGGTCAACGACCGCCCTAGCTGGCCTCAAATCCTGGATCCGTCACTGTCCCCTACAACTTCCAATTTTGCATTAATGTTATTCTTTCACCTTAGACTTGTCTGTTCGCTTTCCCAATGTCTGCTCCCACTTTCTCAGTATTTTTGCTCCGTATGGTTCGTTTCAGTTGCCTTGTGCTGCAGCCTGCAATTGATCTAATTTCATTTTCTACTCTTCCTCAAATAACTCATCTTTCTCTTTCATTCCCAACTCAAACCGCGGCCTTTTTAAATTGATAGCGGCCAATTGTTTGTCGAGAATCTTATGATCCACTATGTACATAGTCTTCAAATATATGAGCTTGTTTTGCTAACATAGTGTC